GAGAGAGAGAGAGAGAGAAAGAGAGAGAGAAGGTTGGGGTTTGGGGGGGAGTGAGAGAGAGAGAAAGAGAAAGAGAGATTTTGTTCTCATCCCTTTTTTCACTCCCATTTCCCCCCTGAAGTTTGGCTTTGAACTGCACAGCCAAAGAAAACCTTTTCCTCTCTTTTTCTCAAAACTCAGCATATCACAACTGGAGAGTGTTTCTTAAACACACACAACAGAGGCCAAATCCAAAAATTCCTCCTCCCACAGGCCTTCACCAGAATTTTCTCTCATACTAAACACTCAATATTTCTCACTATTTAAAGCATGTATGTTCACTTGAATTGTGCTGAAGAAATAATAAAAAAAAAACAATCATGAAACTGTTCTGTTCTCTCATATGGAAGACAAGCATGCATACAATAATCAGACTTAACGCCATGGGGGTAGAGTTTTTTTGCAAGACCATACTGTACCACAAATTACTACCACTATTTTCTCCCAGTTTTACGATGCAAGAGCGTTTACCCAATGTTGTTTAAACGCATCCTCATAGTCATGTGGCTGCGAGCAAATGTTTGTTCTGACTGCACCGTCCCGCCTCTACGGGTCACACGGGAGGAACTTAAACATTAAATAAAAGTTTTGCAAACATTCTGAAGGTCACACAGTAACATAGTGTTTGTTGGGAGTTAATAGAGGGTTGTTCGAGCATTGTTCACACTTGGTATGAGAAGGAAAAGGTGATCCAAGAATAGAACAAAGGTCAGACTGTACAACCAACAGTTCTGATAGGTAGAACTTAAGGTTTCCGTGATTATAAACAGATAAGGATGTACGGTTAGGTAAACAAGTATAAAGCTAGACAAATGGTTTGACAGCTATAAAGTTGAATAGCTAGTTAAGGAGACAGACGTACAAATGAACATTATATAAAGACATTATATAAAACATTTTAAACTTAAAAAAAATTCAACTTGGGTATTCGAAAGCCAGAATAATTCATTTAGCCATGTATAAGTCTAAAATTTAGTTCATCATTGTCTTAAAAATGTCTTAAATTTAAATTGTCAGAACTGCAGAAACCCTGCATTTATCTATTGTATTGTTATTACTTGAGAGTTAATACAGAATACAATCAGTCGTTTTATTTATTATAGTTTACAATATAATAAAGGTTATATATTTTGTATAGTTATTATAGTATATAGTTAGTATATAATTATCTATATAATTATCAATCAATCAAAAATATAAATCATATTATATTAAATTATGTTTATTTATATGGAGTAAGACAAGTATAGAATAGTATAGTTAGACATGTTTAACATTAGATAGTGTGTCTAATATATAGTTAGGCAGTTGAGTAGGTCGGTTAGCACTTTAGCTTGAAGGGCCATGAAACCTCCTTGTTTCAGCAGGGTGTTTTCACACTTCTACTTTGGAAAAAGTCAGAAAAGTGGGCGTGTCCAGCTCTGTTTAGGGGGGAGTGTCGGAGGAACTAAAGTGGGATGGTGTGGGAGTGTCTATTTGGGCACGCGCGAGTTTCAGAGTCAAAACACACACACACACA